GGTTGGGCCGAAGAATCGAGCCCAATCGAATTCCAAGACTCGAAGAAGAAGCCGAGCCTGATCGGGCAAGCTTGCGTCCGATCGGGTGGGCGCGCACAAAGAAGCAGCACCAAGAAGGCGCGCCCGATCGGGTGAGCTTAAGCTCAATCGGGCGTGGCGCATCAGGAAGGGCGAAGGAAAAAAAGCGGGCGCAGATCTTTTATGCATGAGTTTTACAATATTTATTCGAGATTCGAGAGATGAGAATTGATGTTTAGGTCTAGTTTCAATAGGCAGGTTAATTTATATGGTTAAGTCGAGATTCGAGAGATGAGATTTAATCCGGTAAATTAATTGTGTGATTGTAATACATAGCAAAAGCCCTTTATGATCTGATTAATTTATGCATTGATGATTTATTATTATGTTTTACCCTGGAATATTATTTATTGGTGAACCTATGCCCTAGACCTTTTATTCATTGTTTTCTCCTTATTCTTAATCTCCGTAGTTTAGTTTTATATCCAAATTTACATATTGGTTACTTGATAATTTAGATTACTTTAATAAATTAGGAATAGAAAGGCCAGTTTCCCTGTGGATTCGACCCTACTTCCCTATCTATTATTAGTTAGTGGCTTTAGGAATTACTTTTGATTAGGGGATACGACTTTTCCCTGTCAAAATTTGGCACCGTTGCCGGGTAAACAGTTTTATTTTTATTTCTGATTATTTTCGTAGTGTAGGTTATTTCTTTTTATCTCAGAGAATGTTAGTTCTTTGAGGCAAGTCTCATATTTGCTTTTAGTTTTCTTTGTTTATGCCCAGGTGTTCCAGATCAGGTTACATCCCATTCAATCCTGAGATCGAACGATGCTTCCATAGACAGAAGAATCTTTACAAGCAAATTCTGGCAGATTCTGGTGATAATAATAATCACCGAGATCCTCCAACTGATTCTAGTGATTCATAGGTATCATCAGATCCAGAATCAGAGATGACGGCTCCAAAGAAGCTTAGTGATTAATCACAACCAAAGCTTACAGATTTTCCACACCTTACTCCCACTCCAGCTCTTGATGGGGTACAGTTTGAGATTAAACCCCAATTTATAACGATGATAGAAAGGATTAATCACAACCAAAGCTTACAGATTTTCCACACCTTACTCCCACTCCAGCTCTTGATGGGGTACAGTTTGAGATTAAACCCCAATTTATAACGATGATAGAAAGGAAGCAATTTAGTGGAGCTAAGGGTGAAGACCCAAATCTTTATATTGCATACTATTGTCAGTACTGTAATACCATCAGGCAAGCTGGGGTCACACAAGATCAAATTAGGGAGATTCTCTTTCCTTTTTCTTTGACTGGAAAAGCTAAATTATGGTTTAATGGATTAAATAGAACTGCACTTGGTATAACTGACTGGGAAACTCTTGTTTTTAATTTTTATAACAAATATTATCCTGCAGAGAGAACAGTCGTACTATGGAGTGCAATTCAGAACTTTGCCCAAGAAGCCGATGAAACTTTATATGAGGCTTGGGAAAGGTTCAAAGACCTACAAAGAGAATGTCCCCACCATAATTTGGCACAATGGCAGTTAATCCAAGCCTTTTACAATGGCATTGGAAATTCATCTAGAATAATCTTAGATTCTGCAGCTAGTGGGAGGTTTATGAATCTTAATGTTGATGATGCAGGTCAAGTTATCGAAGATATGGCGATACATAATTACCAATATGGGAATCCTAGAGGCTTTGCTAAGAAGGGGAAGCATAGTGTTGACTCTGTATCCTTTTTGCAAGCTCAATTAAGCTCTATCTGCCAGAAATTAGATAATCTTAGCACTGCTAATATAGCTAATGTTTTTGCAATTAATAATAATGCTAATGAGGCTTTCTATGAAAATTGTGGAATTTTAGGTCATTGGGAGCAAGATTGCAGGAGTTCCGTGGAGCAAGTTAATATCTTTCAAGCTTATAGGCAGAATAACCCATACTCCAACACCTACAATCCTGGATACCGGAGTCATCCTTAACTTTCCTACCGGAGCACCAATGTCCAAAATCCACCACAAGACAGGTGCCACAACAACAACAGCACAAATATTACCACCCCAATGCTAGCCAGAAGAATCAACCACAACAATCCTCCTCATCTTCAGACCCTGCTCTGGTAGAAATTAGAGCGATGCTGGTTAATATGCAGAAGCACAAGGAGAGTAGGGATGCCCAAATTGATTCAATCTTAGCACACAATAAAATTGTAGATAATCAAATCGTGCAACTTTCCGCTACTCTACAAGCCCGTCAACAGGGAACTCTGCCAGCACAGCTGACCAGGCCTACGGATCAAGCCTATGCAATTACTCTAAGGAGTGGTTCAAACTATGAAGGGCCTCCCATGCCCAGAGATGATGAACCTGTTTTAATAAATAATGCTAATCTTGATTTCGTTACACCTGACGATGTAGCTAATAGCCCAGAAGGGATAAAGCATAGTACTAATATATATAATTTTACATTGCAGGGTACGACTCCAGGGAAGGTAGCAGTAATGCTCCAAAGCCAGTTATCAAACTTCCATTCCCCAATCGTCACTTAAAAACAAATTTGGATAAGCAGTTTGGTAAGTTTTTGGAGATGGTAAAATATTTGCAGGTAATAATTCCCTTCACTGAATTAATTACACAAATTCCTGCATATGCAAAATTCATGAAGGAAATATTTACAAGAAAAAGGTCTATTAGTGAGGTAGAGACAGTAGCTTTCACTACATAGTGTAGTGTCGTACTTCAAAATAAATCTCCACCTAAATTAAAAGATCCGGGTAGTTTTTCTATCCCTTGTCATATTGGCAATCTAATGATTGATAATGCATTGTGTGATTTGGGTGCTAGCGTTAGTGTTATGCCATTATCTGTGTTTTAAAAGCTACTAATATTACTCTACAAATGGCTGACCGTTCTTTCAAATACCCCTTAAGTGTTTTAGAGGATGTTCCTGTTAGAGTAGGTAAATTTTGTATACCTGTTGATTTTGTTTTTCTTGATATGGATGAGGATATGCAAACTCCAATCATTTTGGGTAGACCATTCCTTAACACTGCAGGAGCAATTATAGATGTGAGAAGTGGCAAATTAACACTATTAGTAGGGGACGATAAAATATTTTTAATCTTAATAATACCCCTAAAATCCCCATGATAGAGGAGAAGTGCTTTAGTGTTAATGTGGTTCAATCTTATTCTAACAAGCCCCAAGCACTTGTAAAAGATCCCTGGGAGGCGGTATCTTGTGTTGCAGATGAGATAGACAAATGGCAGAAGGAAGTTGATGCAATAGAAAGAGCCCTCTACACTGTCGGCCTTGGCTTTGAGGATGAAAAGGTGGAATCAATCAAGCAAGTTGTGGAAATTAATCCTATGGTGAGTGTTCCGCCAGATCGAGTTGCAAGTGCTAAATGCAGTGACAATTTGAAACAACCCTCGATCTAATAGGGATCTTTAGTGCGTAGCACTGAAGAACCCCCAGTTCAAGTAAAGGAGGATCCACCAGATAAGGTGAATTGGCGTCCCACAAGGTATGTCAGGAAGCCGCGTCGTAGCCCAAAACATCGCTCTACCGGGTGAGAAACCACCCGACCAAGCATTAGGTCAAGGTTCCTAGTTCTTGTACTTGGTAAGAAGGTCGTGCGGGACCTAGATAAACCAGCGCTTTGCGGGAGGCAACCCGTATTTCTTGCTTTCTAGACTAGTTTTTCTTTTCTTTTATTTTTTTTTATTTTTTTAATTTTTTTTAGAGAGGAGAGGAGAGTGCAATTTTACCTTTTACAAGTGTTTTTGTACAGGTATAGGTTTGACAGGTACGGAGACTTAAGAAAAGAAGTTGAAAAAAGAAGAGATCTGATTTGGGCACTTGCCCGATCGGGCGCGAAAGTAAAGGTAATTTCAGCTTTACTTTTGCCCGATCGGGCACGCAAGTGAGGTTGGAACACTACAAGAAAAAGGGTAATTAGCGACGGCCAAAGTAGTCGCAAATCCGTTGCAAAAATGGATTTGCGACGGAATTGCGACTACTTTGGTTCGTTGCCAAAGACCTCGTCGCAAATCCTTTTTTGCGACTAATTTTTGCACAGTCGCAAATTTAGCGACGGATTTGCAACGCCTTTGCAACTACCATTTAGCGACTAACTTTCAAATTTTAGCAACTAAATTATTGTCCGTCGTAAAATATTTGCGACGGATTAGCAACTACTTAGACCAATGTTGTAAGACTACTTTTGCGACGGATTAGCGACTACAAGACCAAACTTTTGCGACTACGAGACTAAACTTTTGCGACTACGGAGACTAGTTTAATTGCGATGGATTTGCGACTACTGAGACTAATGTTTTTTGCGATGTATTAGCAACTACTTACGAAACAAATTTTTGCGACTACAAACTAATAATTTGTGACAGATTTGCGACTATTGAGACTAATGATTTTGCAACTAACCAATCAGTCTCTAAACCAAATTTGCAGTTGCTAAATATTTGCGACTGACGATCAATATTTGAGACCATAATTTAGCGACAACCAATATCAATCACAAAAAAAAAGGTACCCACGCATAAATTCAAATAACCAAAATGTTAATTTTATTCAAATAAATATCCAAAATATCAATCAATTTTGTATCAATGTATTAAAAAACAATATTTAACTCATAAGACTAATTGTTCCAAAAGTCACCTCCCATATAAAAAAAAGCTACTTCAAACAAGAATTAATGACAATGTAAAAGACCAGTTGTTCATAAAATTACCACCAAGAAAATAAAAATCACTTAGTTGTATCACGAGAGTGGGTGACTGCAGGAGTAGGAGGCTTATAAGGACGGTAAACTTGTTTTACAATTGACGCCATTTCCTGCAATGTTTTTTGCATAGCTAATTTTTCCTTCTTCCATGTAGCTTTTTCGATCTCATGATTTTCGACGAATTCCTTAGCACATTCTAAGCTCTCTGCCGCTATTTTTTGGCTTTCTTCTACCTTGTTATGGTTTTCTTCCGCCATCTTCTTTAGTTCGTCAACTTGAGAACTTAATTGAGAAATCATGGAAGGAGTGGAAGATGATGCAGTAGATTGAGAAGTAGGATCACTCTTGTAATACATTTGTGAAGCACTCCCTAAACCGTAGACTTTTCCTTTCTTTTGCCCACCTACAACCTCCAAATAGACTTTGTCGGGGTTTATCTCAATTCCTTAGTTCTTATATTCCTCAAGTTTTTCCATATATTCTCCCTGCATTAAGATATGTATTAGTAACTATGATCTCAAATGTTAAAACTTAAAAAGACTAAAAACATCAAAAAAAAAAAAAAAGTTAAAATAAAAAATGCAACACTTATGGCAAAATAATTTATGTAAGCAGTTATTAGTAAAAATTTCGGCAGAGTCTCCTTTGTAAATTGAAGAATCCCCTCCTATAGGGTATGGCTTCAAAATAAACCTGTCTCAATTCACATTGTGCCATACCGCATTAATCATATGATTAATGCCGGCAAATCATTCTCATCCTCCAACTCAATCACACAAACAAATAAACAATCTATAATATCTCCAAACATTAACTACCATATATATTTTTTTTTGTAATCTTAGCAAAATATAGAAGTATACTCATACCATGACTTTTTGAGACTTGTCACCCATTAATTCAACTTCATCATTGCCCACACAAACAGAATGAGTGCTCTCATAAACTTCAGCAGCAGTTGGTAAAATTCCATCCTTTTTCTTTGCCTTGTATTAGAAGAAGTTGTTAGCACTAAAAAAAATACAACAAAATTTTCTACTTGCTTCAATCTTATATAAAATCATAAGTTTGCTGCGATGGCCAGGGTCAAACTTCTCTAATGTTTGGCCAGATAACCGATTATCACTTGCTTGGTTAGAACGTTTCAGAAAATCAGGATGCTTACGCTTATTTATGAATTCAGCTCGACCAGTGTCAGTCATGAAACTAACTTCCTTATGGAGAGGCATTTTGTAAACTTGGTTCAATGTGCCCCTAAGTCGGTCCACAGCTTTTTTGTCAAATTCTCTCCTAGCCTTAGCATCGAACTCAGTTCTCCAAGTTTTATGCAATTTCCACTACTACAAAAATGGCCAAAGAGACCATATCAAAATGGACAAAAAGACTACCTTAGGCGTGGTCTCTAGCTCACAGGTCTCTTTGGTCAAAGAGACCACAATATTAAAAGTGGTCTAACTTTACAATACCTTAGACCACCTAGCTAAATTGATGGTCTCTTTTTTTAGTTTAATAAAAATTAATATAGAGGGATAAGAGACCAAATGTTTTAAATAGGTGGTCTCTGGATTTAAATACTGAGACCACCTATTTTAAATGAGTGGTCTTTCTTTTTTAAATAATGAGACCATTTATTTAACATAGGTGGTCTCTCTGAGGTCGCTTTTTTTAAAAAAAAAACATAAATAATTATATTCGTCTAATATCCAAGCCCTTTTGCAATTCATATTCCTGCAATAAATTTTGGCGCCAATATATATGTTGTTGTACCTGCTCCCTAATACATATATATATATACATAAATTTTCCATATAATATACATAAATATAAAAGCTTTAATACAAAAACTAACTCTCTCCAACAGATTTTAACCCAAAATTTACATTAATTCTAATATTCAAAAGGATTTTTTCCTATAAAAAAAAAAAGTTCAAAAGTGGAGCTAAATTCACAAGTATAATGATTAACACTAAGCGGAAGCAGCCCTTACAGTCTTTATTTTCATGGAGTAGCATAATGTGAATTATATGCTATTACCTTTAAGTTATCACAGGTTGGTATATCTTTGTATTGTTCATAAATTGAAAATAGTTCCAACAATTCATGTCAAAACAATATGCATGCTACAAACACATCAAGTTTATATTACACAATATATACAAGTTAACAAACAGTCAAGCATGAAGCTTTTTATATTCCTCTGTTGTAAACAACCCACTTAGCATGTAATATATTATTAAAGCAATATTCACCTTAATTAAATCTATAATTCCATTCAAAAGAATCTATAGAGCAAAATGAATTACCTGGATCGTCACAAGGACTCTTGCTGATGGTATCATCATGATACATGGTGTAGCAAATTTAGCTATAGTTTCCTGATAATACATAGAAAATAACCAAAATTACAATGTACTCAAGATAAATTGAAAAAAGATGACAATTAAGAAGAAATTTCATAGTTGAACCCTAACATTAAAGGGCTGTGTAATACAGTTTTTTTCAAGAAAATATATCATGAGTAAAAAGCAATAACACTGCAAGTTCGTGATCGAATACGTTCCGATAATATGTCACTGAGTTATTATCGGCAAAGCCAGATAAGTGCAGGGTACACTGATATAAACATGTACATATATTCTCTTCTCTATTCCATCATTCGTGATCGAATTTATACAAACTGATGTGTGTAGGGAATCTATAACTACTTTTGTGAGAAAGAACTATGCCAAAGGAGGTTGTCGAAACTCGGAAGCATATCATTAACTAGCAGAAATTAACTCTTCAAGAAGCTTTGGGAGTCCACTACTTGCAGGACTTCAGAAGTTCAAAGAATAATAGAAAGAGGTTCAAACATGTCAGTAATAGGGTTAAAAAGAAAAATGTGAAACGAGAAGCCACTAAATCATGAAAATTTGAAACAAAACTATATCAAATATACAATAGTAATCAGGATTGCCAAACAAAAACGTAAATTGAGTAGCACTTGTAGATTATTCATCATGCTGAGAGATAAGACATGCTTAGTAATCATCAACACCCAGTGTAAGACCTGCATCTTATTCAATGTTAGATGAAAACAAGGTGTCCCTACTCACTGCAAGAGAGTAGGATATTTAAGAGGCAAGCTGCTAGCCAGCCATCAATGTTAAAGGTGAGGTTATTTAGCTGGACAATCAGAAGGCATAGCCCATATATACATACAGCTCCTCTCCAAGGCTACGACAAAGTGAGTTCAATGAGGCATTGTTCAGACTCCAAATTCAAAGTGCCAAGACTGCTAATTGCCAAGTTATCTATCACTTATGCATTTCTTATGTTCTAATTCCTAAGTGAATATTTATTGATTAATTACTCTAGCCATCTACCATCGTGTTGCTGAAGGATAAAGGCATTCAAGCCACAACCGAGAACTAAAGCAATACACTTATAAGATTACTCTGGATCGGTTTTAAGTAGAGTATCACTAAGGCCTTGTATTGTTATAAACTCATTGTAATCTTGCAAATTTTTTTCCCCTTGTTATCACTCGGATACTTGATAAATTCCCGCTTATTACATAATGTGAATTGAGACTTATTCCAGTAGTTTATTATATCGCAATTTGCAATAGAAACCAAATTAAAATAAAAAATTGAACAAAAAAACTCAATAAACCCTAAAATTCGCAATTCCTAATTCAACTAACTTATTACGTATTATTTTCAAGAATAGCCCCTAATAACCCATAAACATAATTGAGAAATACTAATTCCTAATTCTAGTTACTTAATTCGACCAAACTTTCAAGAATAATTCTCGAATCTGTGAAATTATCAGATTAAAACCAATTTGCAATTTAATCAATTATCAGATTAATATCAATTCGCAATTGAAAAAAATTAAAATAAAAAATTGGACAAAAAAATCAAAGATAAACCTTAAATTCGCAATTGGCATAATGCAGTAAGAGAAATATTGAATGGAAGGTAGGAAGAAGAAGAACGCGTACTAACCTAGGTGAAGTGGTGGTGGTGCAACAGCAGTAGAGGAAGATGACGGTGATGGCTGGCTTGCTTTGAGGTTCTAAACTTTTTTTTTTTTTTGTTGAGGAAGAGTATGATATTCTTGTTTTTTACGGTGAATACTGATGTTCTTGTTATTTTGGTGGCAATAACTTGTTTTTTTTTTTTTTTTTTGTTTTGGAGGAATAAGGGTTTTTTTTATTACACTAAGGGTTTTTTTATTATTTCTTTTTAATAAATATTAAAAATAATAGTAGCGACTACCGTGTTAGTCGCAAATTATTATAAGAGCGTCGCAGATTAGCAACCTCATAGCAACTATTATAAATTCGGTTGCAAATTTTGCGACTACTCGTTTTTTTCTGTCGCAAAAATATTTTTTGCAACTGATTATTATTGTAGTTGCAAAAATCAGTTGCTAATTAACGACCGCATAGCAACTACTGCAAATTCGGTTGCAAAATTTGCGACTACTCGTCTTATTCAGTCGCTAAAATTATTTTTGCAACTAATTATTATGGTAGTCGCAAAAATCAGTTGCTAATTCACCTTTTTCTTGTAGTGGAAATCAAGCTATTTTCGCCCGATCGGGCGCAATTTTTGAGAAATCGAGTAAGGAGAAAAGATATGTCGGGCGAAGCTTGCCCGATCGGGCGAGCAAAGGTCGAAAATTCCCAACGCATTCGCGCCCGATCGGGCGCGCAATTAAGATTTCGGAATAAGCTATTTTCGCCCGATCGGGCGCGCTACTTTTGGCCTCTATTACTTCCTTTCTTTCCTATTCTTTTCTCACTTTCTCCTTATTTCATCTTCTTCTTCATCACTTTATCTCTCTAAAACCCCCATTTTCATACCTTCAAACTCTACTTCTTTTCAAGATCTTCTCTAATTCTTCCATCCAAACTCAAAAATTTAAACATATTCTTAATCCTCTCATCTTTCCCTTCGATCTAAATTTCTACCACTTTCTCTCAAAAAAATTTTCAAAACCCTAAGAGAGAGAATGATTCAAATTCCACCATTTCACAAAAATGGCCTCCAAAAGATCTAGGACCATAAGGGGTGAAAGCCCAAGGCAACAACAACCACCATTGGTTGACCCGGAGCTGCAAATTCCGGGATGGAGCGAGGTGGTGATAACCTCACAAGAACAACGACAAAGGATGCTCAACCTCATCTCGAGGCAGGTAATTCCTACACGCTTTGTTCATCATTCTACGCTTTCTAGATTAGGAATTGATAAACCGGTAGAAAAATTGATTAAAGGTATTGGAATGAGTGGTTTATTTCAATTGCATTATGATACTTATGACTATTTACTTTGGAATTTATTTCTAGTTTTAATGTGGTAAAATATAATGCTTTGATTACTCATGTTCAATTCCGTTTGCTTAATAACGATGTGAGATTGACTTTGAAAGAATTTGGTAAATTATTTGCGTTGAAATCGGATAGACCTATTGAACCGACCCAAGACAACATTGACGTTGTCCATCAATCCCTCATGGGGGTTGCTAATATAAACCTCCAACATGCCAAGGGCACTTGGATACAACATCGCGTGCCAAAATTTTGGCAACGATTCGTTGGCCTCACTATCTTTGGGAGACATGAACCCGCCAATGTAAGGAGGGATGAACTAGATTTGTTAGGGTCTTACATGATCCCTAGGAGTGAAAAACTAAACATACCTCATAAGATAGCCCAACACTTCCAACGGGTGGCCGAGGCTGGTAGGTCTAGGGCCCCTATTTATTTTGGCGGTTTAATCACCCACATAGCGGTCTAGCACCTTAACTTTGTTCCTAACGACTTTAGGAAGGTAGTAGGCCCAACTCTTATGGACTTACCCTACTTAGGTAGCCTCAACTGGATCAACGTCATAGGGGGTGAAACCTGGTGGGTAATCCAAAGGGAGTCAGGTAGAAGGGACAATGCCTTTACGTTGCCTAACCCCGTTTTGACTAAGTTTGAGAAGGGTCAACCTTCTTACACCTTTGATTTAGGTAACCAAGGTGAGGCTCAAGCGGCTCACCAAGAACCACCTTCACCACAACCTCAATTTCACCCTTAGTCACCACCCCAACCCTACACTTATGACATACCCACTTCTTCCACGAACTATAACATCGACCCAAACGCCCCTTATGACTTCTCGGCTTTTAGGAGCCAACTTGATAGGATTGAGATGGGGCAAGGGAGAGTGGAGAGTATGGTGCGAAACCTAGATACTAGAGTAGGGTCTCTAGATATGAGGGTGGGGCATGTTGAGAGAAACCTTGGGAGGGGTTTATACCCCATGTATGATGACTATGAATGTCGGGGGGCTATTCCCCCGAATCACTTGTTCCCGATTGGTTTTAATATCCTCAAGGAGGATATTCGGACCCAAGTGCCTTTGGAACCTATGTGGACTACTCTTCGGTCCACGGTTATGGGATCGATGCTCCTTTTGGTGGGCTTGGGGGGGAATGTAGACCCTAACTATTTTGCAGGTGGTTCGGGCTACGGAGGTGGTGGTTCGAGCCATGGAGGAGCCGATACTATCCATGGGGGAGGCTATTCGAGGATGGATGAAGATGAGGAGTAGTTACTCTAGCTACAATCCCAAGTCAATGAGGGCATTGCTTGATTTGGCTTGGGGGGTGGTCTTGTCTTTGGTAATTCTCTTCCTTTTCTCTATTTATTTGCTTTCTAGTATAGTTTTATTTGCTTTCTAGTGTAGTTTTTTTTATTTGCTTTCTAGTGTAGTTTTTTATTGCTTTCCTATATTTAAAAATACAAAAAAAAAATTGAAAAATAAAAAATACAAAAATACGTTCCAATGAATTATAAATCATGCTTCCCTGTGCCCCTTACTTGAGAAAATGTGTTTTGATTCTTGGTATATGATGATAAGCATTTTGGATTAGTTGATCATGATTTGATATTTGATTGCCTTGAAACCTTAACATGAGTCAATTTTGCCAACTATTTGTGAATATAGTGCTTGACTAGTTGAATTGGTTAGGAATGTGTGATAGTTCCTAGTATGTCAAGGAATTTGATTATTGGTTTGCAACTATTAGTAATGCTTATATGGCTCCATATTATGCACATTGAGGAGGACGAAGGCATTTGTTCTCTTAGGTAGCCTTTAGACGGTATTAGATACATTTGTTCCCTTCTTGTTACCCATGTTGTTGCTTGTTCCCTCTTTATTGTTTATTTAGCCACATTACAAGCCTATATGAGCCCCATTGGTTACTATTAGTTGGTGAGGTGAGGGAGTTGTGGTGTGCATATTATTTGCACAATGTGGGAATAAAAGAAGAGTGATTGTTCTTTGATATTTTGATTGGAAAATATTGATGTTTTGTGTTTCAAAGTTGAAAATTTCCAATATGAGGTAAAAAGAAAAAAAAGAGCAAAGAAAAAAAAAGTTGTTTCAAATGTTCAAATGTTCGATTTGAAGGTTGCTCAAAAAAAAAAAAAAAAAAAAATTCAAAAGAAAGAAAAAAAAGATAAGTAGTTCAAAGTTTGTTTTAATTCACTCTATTTCACATTATCATACTTTGTGAGTGAATATGTAAGTGTTGGGATTGTGTTGTGTATATGGTTGTTTGGTGAATTTTTGTGGAGTTAAGTTGTGATTGGAGATGTTTTGGTCATCACTTGTTTTGACCTTGGGTTTTATTAGGATATGGCTCCCTTAAGCATGACTTTACTCTCACATTTTCCTAAATTTATCCTACCCTTTACCCTAGCCTTACATTACAAGCTTTAAAGACCTTCCGACCTTTGTGCATAAGAGTTTTATGAATGTGAAAGTGTTGTTTATCAATGCAAGTTATGATTTGACATATTTCGAGTCAACTAGTAGGTTGAGCGTACATCTTTTTATATACACGAGAGTGTGAGTTGGGAGGGCATTGTTCACAATAAAGGGGTTGGTTGGAGAGCGATCGAGTACATCTTTTACTCGCCACATAAATGAGAGTTGAGTGTGCGAGCACTAGTCTTGAATTCTATATGCTCTTGTGGTTTGCTCTATTTGACAATTGTTAGGGAGGAAGGGTAATTGAATGGATTTGATTGGTTGACTTTGAAGCATGTTTATTGGATTTACCTTGAATTGTTTGTGCTTGATTTTAACTTTTTGGGGTGAAGCATATTTATTTATTCATTGATGAGATCTTTGCTTAAGGATAAGCAAATGTTTGCCTTGGGGGAGTTTGATATGTCTATTTTATATAGTTGTAGGGAATAATTTCAAGCCTTTAAAATCCCACTAGCTTGAACCCCACTGTGATCATACACTAAAGTACGGTGGCGTCCAAAAGGGAAGAAGATAGAGCAAAAGAGTCGCCAACAAGTTTTTTAAGGAACTTGTAAACCGTTCATAGAATGAAGGTTACACCCTTTAACGATCCAAGAGATCGTCAACTCCATAAGGTCAAGAAATAAATAAGGGTTCGGGGATGAAGGTACAAATCCAACCTAAAGATTGAACATGCCCTAATAATAGGCCTCTACTTTATTTTGATCGTATTCATGTGCGCTTTCTAATTAACATGCAATCAATAGGATTAACCCTAAACCTGTTTTTTAATGTTGGTTGAATTTAATGCACAAATAAACTATTATTGGCGATCACTTGAAATTATAATCATAATTAACCCTAACAAGATTATTAATTATCTTATATAAGCGTGATTACAAGTACCAATTCCCTATAAACATGCATAAAAGGTGTGATCAAGCAATAACAATAAATATAAAGCAACATAATAAATAATCAAAATATCATGAATAATAATTACAATAATCATAAATAAATAATCATCATCGAAATAATAATAATAATTATAATCATTATAATCATAATCATAATCATGTTAAAGCATAATAAAAATAGCAAGATCCTAGGCATGATACTAACAAGATTAATAACAAACCCTAGCATGTCACTAAGAAATAAAAATCAAATCTTTAGCCCTAACATGATACTAACAATCATAAATATTAGGAAGAACATAGGAAGCATCAAATTAATCATATTTAATATTAAAAATACACTAGACATGATACTAGGAATATCATAATAACAATATAAACATGATGTCTACATCATAATATCAATTAATCAATTAAAGTACTTACTTTGATGCCTCGTACCTCTTTCTAATAACAAAATACACACGTTAGTAACTTCAAGGAAAATAATAATCAAAACAATCAAATTAAATAATTGAAAGAGAGATTTGGGACCAAACCCTCAGAAATTAAAACTTTTCACGTCTAGGGCGAAGGCAACTTCGAATATGGCTAGGTGTTTCTAGATCTTGTGAATGCGGAATTTTGTATTAAAAGCAAAGTTTGAAAGAATTGAAAGAATGCTAATTAAAACTGATTGTAGAACTTGTGAATGATGAGAATTGGTGAATGATTGAAGAGAATAGGTGAATGAAAACAATTGGTGAATGAATGAATGTGATCGGTGAATGAAAACGGAGTTTTTAATACGATATTTATA